AATGAAACAATAAGAGAATTGCGCTAAATCAGAAACAAAAGCTTAAATTTTCCTAGAACTTCGTAGAAACATTGCATCAATGACTATTCCATTTGCAAATTGCGACGAAAAAACAAATTACTAGCCAATTCAAGCTGCATTATATAAAAGCTCACAAATTCCTACTTTAACCTACCTTCGTCATGACTACCAAACAGTTCCTCACTTGCACATATTCATTGTTTTCCACTGACAGCACTGAGTTGAAGGCAGTGTGCAGTCGCATCTGAAAATCATAGGTTCCCATTAAGCGTATGGTTGACTCTTAGATACGTTACACCAAACCTGCCACTTAAAGCATAACCGTCGAAAACTTTCATAATTGACACTTTCTGTAGTTTTATCTTGTCGTGTTTTTGAAACCAATCCGGGAAATCCTTCACATTCCTGAAGATTACGAATAAAAAGAGGTCCTCTTATACTCTGCATAAGGAAAAAAGCCAGACCTTCTCAAATATCCCGCTATCTGAATGCCACCGTTGGGCATGGCTGAGCAGAATTTGCAAGAATGTGCCCATAGCATTGGCTTCATTTTCTGTTAGTGCGCATATCAAAGGCAGCACATCGATAAACAACTAAAAGGAAAGTTTGAGCGAACGAGAAGAAAATAACTAAGAAGAAAACTATTATATCTGAGTAAATGATAACGAACGAAACAAGGTTACCTTGTCGATAAACACTAATGACTGAAACAAAGTGATTCGTTGTTGATGTAAAATGATTATGAGCTTTGCAGAGTAGATCTAAAGAAATGGCAATCTGATATATCTTCTAGTTTAAAAAAACCTATACTTACTGCATCTGACTCGGAGAAGAGAACACGAGGCAAGATGCACGTTTGAATGAAAGCACTAGTTTGTTGTCCACCTAAATACAGTGTTTCTTGACTCATTGAGACATCTCCAGCTTTATCTCTACCAGAAGCAATGAAAACTCGAAAGCCTGCCCCTGATAATCATGACATCAGATCCCATGAGGAAACCTACGTCCAGCTTCAAACAGGTCATCCTTAACACTCTGCAGCCAGGCTCGTATTCGCGCAACATGTTCGGCTTGACGCTTTTCCTCATCCCTAAGTTTGCCCTCGAGACTACGTAAACGCTCCTCTTCCTTTTGGCGCTTGGATTTGCTCTGAAACATATATGAAAATAAAAAAGGGAAATATGTCACTGTCAATGTTTTACTTACCATGACCGGAGAGTCAGCCACTTCCTTCATCTGCTTTCGGATATTTTCAATGGCTCTTTCATAAGCAGCGGTAGGAACTTCGATATCATAAGAGGACAAAATCCAGAACACAACAAAAAGTCTAAAATTTCCAATTGAAAAGTTTTCTTGAAACCATTGCTAAACAAATAACTAACCTGATAGGAATGTCTCGACATACGTGTTTAGGAATACAAGGCTCTAATTCCTTGACTAACTTTGAGATCACATCATCAAAAGCAGACTTGAAAAAGATGAACTGAAAGAGACATTACAGTTCAGCAGGGATTCAGCGATTATCA